AAAATTATTAAATTACAAAGTAAAATGATTTAATTTTGTAGTTGAAATCTATCATATCAAACTTCATTCGTTAATAAATATTTTGAAAACATTAGAAATGAATGATTTTAATTGTCTTTATGGAGAACATGGAATAACTAACTGTTTAATTGATAAATTGAAATTTTTTTTTTATTTTTTGAGAGTAATATCTTCAACTAGATACGAATTGTAGTCATTGGACGTATCGTTGAAAAAAGTAGGTCAAGTTAGAGCAGAGAAAATAAATGATATTCACAAAAAAACATCTTCTCGGCTTTGCATCGAAGCTAAAACTTAAAATATAGTAAAATAATTTTAATACGAATAAGAAATTTCTTCTTGCAAGGGGCGACTAAAGTGATGGGATCATTGTTCTTTATTGAAGTTATTGAATCTAAATGAGTTAAAAATTCTTTAACTAACTTAAAAAGAATTAAGAAAAAATGCAAAAAATTCATTGCCATACGCGGGTTGGAACCTCGTACCCCAAGCGTGTAAAACATAAATTTTACCAACTCGGCAACCGTACGTCGCTACCGTCGGGTGAAAAAATAGGCTATTTAAGCTAGTTCAAATTTCAAAGTTATTTTTCTCGACTTAAAAGAAGCAAACAAATTTAAATAAGTTTAACTTTCTATGCTATATTAATTTTTTATTTATATAATATTTATGAAAATCTGTACTCCCCTTGTCAGGTATTTTAAAATAAAATAAAATACAAAACCCAGAATTTTAACACAAAAATAGCAAATTTTTGAATACGGTAGTCATTTTTACAATGAAGACAAATCCAGAGGTGAATTTTTTTTTTTCAAATTAAAGTATATTACATAAGCTTTAATTTAAGATATATATAAAAGTGTCAGTATTTCCGGAATACTTTCAAAAATTAAATTGAAAATATCTTAGTAACAATACGCATGTTTAAAGTTTTGACCCCCCTTGTTAAAGGGGTATGATCCAATTTACAAAAAAAGCGTGCCAGATGAAAGGGGTATATAAATATTTATTATAAAAAAATAATAATATTGATCCATACATTTTTCCAAAAGTTATATAAAATATAAATTAAATAATATAACATATAAAATCGAGATTTTTTTCACGGAAATCGTACGTTTTTCTTTAACTTTGATGTCCGTTTTCACCACGAAGACAAGTCCAGAGGTCAAATTTTTTTTTTTCAAATTAAAGTATATTACATAAGCTTTAATTTAAGATATATATAAAAGTGTCAATATTTCCGGAATACTTTCAAAAATTAAATTGAAAATATCTTAGTAACAATACGCATGTTTAAAGTTTTGAAAAAAAGCGTGCCGGATGAAAGGGGTATATAAATATTTATTATAAAAAATAATAATATTGATCCATACATTTTTCCAAAAGTTATATAAAATATAAATTAAATAATATAACATATAAAATCGAGATTTTTTTCACGGAAATCGTACGTTTTTCTTTAACTTTGATGTCCGTTTTCACCACGAAGACAAGTCCAGAGGTCAAATTTTTTTTTTCAAATTAAAGTATATTACATAAGCTTTAATTTAAGATATATATAAAAGTGTCAGTCTTTCCGGAACATTTTCAAAAGTTATGTTGAAAAAGTTAACTTTTTGTGAAAAAGTTGTCATTTTGAATCCCCATTCTGTGGTCAGTGAAAGGGTCAAATTTATAAAAAAAATATATAAAATGATAGCTAAATATCTAAGGTATCTATAAAAAAAAAAATTATATTGATTCAGTCATTTTTAAAAAAGTTAGGGCAATTTTAAGTAAAAAAAAATGAAAAAATATCGAAAATTAGCGATTTTTAAATTTGTAATTTTTTGGGGGATATCCCCCGTTTACGGAGAACGAGGGATTTTTTTTCAATTTTTGAGGGTAATTTCTTCAACTAGATACGATTTGTGATCTTTTGACATATTTTTCATCAAAATCGGTTCAGTGAGAGCTGAGATTGAGCGTATACAGACAAAAAAAAAAA